CATATTGATATTTGTAATCGTAAATTAACTAGGTGGAGTAACGTAATCCATATATTGCCAGTTGTAAAGTTGAAATGGGATAAGCTTCCATAGACTAGTAGAAATTCACAATCCCGTAGATGACGTTTGGTTTATGTATTTAAAATTATGATTCAGAATTATTTTTATTTTACATGTATTTTTTATGAGAAAAAATAATGTATAAAATCATAAATTATGATTCAAAATCAGGGATGAATATATGAAATAAACGTCCCCGTAATCTTTTGATTGAGAGACAGTTAACATCATAGGATAAATTTTAGATAAACTAATAAATAATAATATGTTAATTTTCTTTAAACACAAAAAATAAAAGTAAAACTCATAGTTCCATAAAAAATGAAAAATAAAAAGTGGAACTCATAGACTGTAACTCTAGTCATGGTAATTAGATCCAAAATCTCATCAAGAAACGGTTGCCTAAAGAATAAGAACTGAGAATTGAGATAATTTTTATTATTCTATTCAAGACAATGTCCATATCACGACAGAAATTCCAACAGACTGTATACAATAGACACTCATCGTAAAACCTTTCACATATGTTTTCTTTGATGTCTTCATTCCAACATAGAAGACATATTGAAGTAGAAAAAATAATCAAAGAGACTAGAGATTCCACATATATAAAGTAGACAAATAAGTTTTAAATAATCGTCATACTCTATTAATTATAGCTTATAAGATATAGAGAGTTACGAAGTGGGAGTATAATAATTTTAAAACGTTATAAATAATGGTGAATATTTTATTTGTTATTTGAAAAACATAATACAAAAAACAAATAATTAATTTGTATGACAATATTCTACATAAAATGCATCTATATCATTAACAACAAGTTATGAAACAGAAACTTGATGCAAATAAATTTTAAATTTCTTATTAATATGAGGTTTTAGTCTAAATAAAATGATAAAATCATAATTTTATCAAGTAAAAGAAACATTATTATGTAATTTGACCATTTTCTCGTAGTCTTAAGTAAGACAAAAAAGTAAATAAACTAACAAAACATTACGTAGTTTTTGATGGGCGATAATTCAGAAGTCACATTCGACACGTAATACAATTATAATTTAATTCAACCACTTTTTTTAAAGTTCTAAATAAAAGAAAACTGTATATATCAAGTAAGGAAAAAGTACAAAAGGTAAAGGGCTAGAAACAAAAAATAAATCATTCTTTCTTAAGCTATAACTAATAGAAAATAATATATAACAAGAAAGTAAAAAGTACTAAAGACAAAGAGTATAAAAAAAAAACGTAAATTTAACTGCTCTTTTTTAAGTCCTAAGTAATAGAAAAGAGTAGATAACAAATAAGTACAAAATAAAAAAGGTGAAAGGTATAAATAGAAATAAAAATTAAACCGCATTATTTTGAGCCCTAAGTAAGATAAAATAGTAGATAACAAATAAGTAAATAGTACAAAATGTGAAGAGTATAAATAGAAACACAAATTAAACATTTTTTCTTAACCCTAAGTAGGAGAAAAGAGTAAATAACAAGTAAGTAAAAAGTACAAAAAATGAAGGATATAAACGGAAAAAAATTTGGTCAACAGCTACATGTTTCATCACATTTTTATTATATAATAGATATATATTTGTTATTTGGAACGAAAAAAGATAGTTTTGATCAAAAGAAGCCACTTTACTTTAACAAGTAAGTAAAAAGTACAAAAGTAAATGTCATAAAAGTAAATAAAAATTAAATCATTTTTTCTCAAACTCTAAGTAAGAGAGAACAATAGATACTAAGTAAAAAGTATAAAAGATGAAAGGGTATAAATGGAAACAAAAAGGAAAATTATAGTAAATAGCAGAGTTTAAAACTATTGAAAGTAAATAACAGTGTACTATGTAAATGATTCATTTATGACTAGTAAAAAATAGCTTACATAGTAAAAGATCTTAAGAAAATCTTTATTAATGTAGAAAAAAATATTTTTACCAGTCATAAAAAGAAAATTTACGTGAAAAAATATTTTTACTAATTGTAAATGAACCATTTATGTGGTAAATTTCTATTTATTTTAAATAGTTTTAAAATTTACTATTTACTTGATTGGTTTCACAAATATGTTATTTAGTACATTATCCCAAATAAAAATTAAGGGCTTGTTTCGATAGTATATTTGAACTCCTAATTTAAGTTCTATTATAGTATTTTTTATCTCATAAATAATTTAAATTAAAAAATTTCTTTTCTCATAGAGTTTCCGCTAATACTTGAACCCATGCTCATGCTCACAAGGTATATCGATGTTGATCAACAAATTTTCCCACTGTTAAAAATCTTGCAGAGACATACAATACCCTTGGTAAATATAATTTGAAAAAACATGCTCTGTTGCACATGACAAAGCAGCATTCAACATAGAGTGAAAAATGAAAAAAAAAAAAAATATATATATCAAAAAAAAGGAAAAAAAAAAAGAAAAAAAAGTAAGACTTTACCAACAAATTGAAATGCATAGAGCAAATTTTAAAAATGAAAAGAAAATTGTTTAAAGTTAACTAATTAATATAAGAATTTAGGTAGAGTGATTATGGTAATTTTGGCCTAATAATTAATGAAATACCCATTAAGAGAGACTCTTAATTAAAAAAGTTGACATAAACAAATTAAACAATTGTTGAATTTTTATTAGGCAGACCTACTACGTAAATTTCGTGACGTCGTACACTTGGTCCATTAGATAATTCCTCCGGAAGAGTAGTTTTATTATATGATTAGAAGGTCATGGCTCGTGAAGCATTTACCGTAACGCAATAGATATGATTAATAAAAACATTGGAATAATTATATTTAGAACTTTAGAAATTTTGCTTCAAATTAAGTACAAAGAAACAACACTTAATAATATTAGATGTTCAATTAACTAAACGTCGAGATATTTACAAAGTTAAATTCTACCCAACAAAAATAATAACAAATGCCTTAAACATTTCAAATGAAAAATAAACTGGATGTCAATAATAGGTTTAATTTAGTGATATAATCACGAAGTCACTAATCTGAAAGAAAAAAAAATGTTATTAAAATACAAAAAACAAAAGTACGTTAAAAAAAAAAGTAGGGGGCACTTGTTTAAGGCACTAATTAGTAATTAGTAACCACCGCCTAGATTTAAAAAAAGAAAACAAAAACTAAAATTTTTGGGAACCATGAATACCAGTTGGCAACCGGTTTATATTTTGCTTGCTATGATCTTTGCCCATACCCCTTAAATCAGGACTGGCAATTTCGGACATGATACGATGAAACGACACGAAAATGACACGAGATAAATAGGTTTAGACCGCACGATTATTAATTGAGTCGTTAACGGGCTGGCACGAATAACACGAAAATAAACGGGTTGGATTCGTGCCAGCCCGTTTAACACGCTTAACCCGTTTAGTTATACGGGCCACAGCCCGTTTTATTTATATTCTCTTGTTTGCATGAATGGTGTTTGATAAAAGGATTAACTTAATTTAACACTCTAACTTTTAAATAAGTTATAGTATGTTGATAAAATTACAAAATGCCAATGGACTTGTAGATGGATGATTTGTAGATGGACTTGTAGATGGTTGATTACAAAATGCCAATGGATGATTTGTAATGGATAAACCTAAACTTTAAATATGTTTTATGCTTTATGCACTTAAATATGCCAATGGACTTGTAGATGGTTGATTATGTTTTATGCACTTAAATTTTCAAATATTTGGTTATATTTTCAAACTTATTTAAATGTACTTGGTTATGTTTTCAAACTTCTTTAGATGTTTAGTAATTGGTATGTTTTGAAACATATGTCATAAGTGATGTTTTAGATATTTTAATGTGTGTTGGCTATTATGCATGATTTTAACTATAAGTGATATTAAGTAGTCAATTAATATAGTTTTGAATACAATATAAAATTCACTATTTTTGCTAGTTGGGTCATAAACGGGTCATAAACGTGTTTTTTTCGTGTCGGCCCGTCACGACACGTTTAATAATCGTGTTCGCGTGTCGTGTCGTGTTAACCGTGTTATTAGCATGTCATGTTCGTGTTTGGGTTTCTGACATGTTTATTAATCGTGTCGTGTTCGTGCTCACTATAATCGTGTCGTGCCGTAATCGTGTCGGCCCGAACACGGCCCGCGAACACGAATTGCCAGTCCTACCTTAAATGACCCTAGACTTTCATACACCGTTGGATTGCTTTGCATAGAGTAGACAAATGAAACGATTGAAATTAATGGTTAATGCTCCGTTTATTTCATCGATTTGAATTTAAAATTTGAGTTTTACTACGGTAAAAAGTTATAAAAAACAGTCACATTTAACTTTTTACTACAATAAAAAACTCTCACATAAAATTACATATCAATTCAAATTATAAATTCAGATCAGTGAATTAAACGAACATAATATTTTGGGAAGAGCCAATCTCTCAAATTTAAAGTGGGAGACTGTAGAAGGGTCCTTAAGAATTAATCCCTTTTAATTCTTTCAATTATTTTAAGATTTTAAGAAAAACCAAAAATTCTCAAAAAAACATAACTTTACAAAATTGAATAAAATAAAATGGCACAAATATAAAGTTAGAATTTTATTTCTCAAAATGACTGAAATGACATTTCTTCATCATCATCTTTATTTATATATTACTAATCTCATCTTAATAATATTCTCAAAAAAATTTCATCTTATTAAAATCTAAACAACACAAATACTTTTTTAATGAAACAAAAATACCTTTTTAATTCGATGTATTTTGTAAAAACTTTAAGTAAAAGAAAAAAAAGTAATAAGAGGAAAAAAGAAAAAAGAAAAAGAAAAAGTAATCAACAACAAACCCATCATTAAAAAAAGAAAAGAAAAAGTAAATAAAATAAAATAAAAAACAAACCAATAATTATTGGTGAAAATGGACATGTAAAATATTCTTCACATTTTGGTTCCATTCTCTTCCCATCTCTCTCTCTCTCTCCTCTTTTTCTCTCTCTCCTTATCATCACCATTGAATTCTGGGAGTTTCTTCTTCTCATTGATTGAAATGGATCGCTAGTTGGGTTGTCTGATTGGGAGACCGGAGCTCGATCTGCTTCCTTTCATGGGTGTTCTCTGGTCTTCTTGACCCAATTCTGGATTACTACTCATTCCAATTCATTTAAATGGAGGTAAATAAACAAACAAACAAACCCCATGATTTATTTTTCTTGCACTTTAATCTACACACACACACACACACATATATCCTCTAATTTTCAAGGTTCTTTTGTGGTTGTCTTTCCTTTATCTTGTACTTTTTGAATTATTCAGACCATTTTCTGGGTTTTACGTACTTGTACATATTTGTGTTAAAGAATACCGCTTTTCTTGAGCTTTTGTCTGAAGTTATATACTTTGTTAGGAATTTTCTGTGATGGGATTGTTTCATTGTGAAGTTATGGCATGTTTTTCGCGGTTTTCCTATGAAACAGAAAAGAAGCTATAAGCTGTTATTCTTCTCCTAATGCTGCTCAAAAAGAAAATTTTGTTATGGTTTGTGAATTTATTATGAATGATTTACAGTTAAGAGAGAGAGAGAGAGAGAGAGAGAGAGAGAGAGAGAGAGAGAAGACAATAATGGAGGTTTTAAGTGTTGGCTTGTTTCTGATAAACTACAACTAATTCTTATTGTTAGCAATTACAATTTACAATAAGAATTTTGTAACAAAAGTATCATTCTGGTAGCTATTACGCAGGGTTTTGGTTTTCATGAATGTTAAAAGATCTACGTGTCTTAATTTCTTTTTTATTATTTTGTTTCTGATTCGTTTTTATTCTATTATATTGAGGTTTTTGTAAAATAATAATTAAAAAAGAAAACTTGATTTAGACTTTGATCGGAGTTACTTTGATGGGATTTGCAAATTAGAAGAGTGTTCTTTCAAAAAGAAAAGAGAGAGAGAGAGAGAGAGAGAGAGAGAGAGAGTAAAACCCAATCAAGATTTTGGTTATTTACCCTTATGCAGCCAATCCAAATTATTCAGGGTTATCATTGAGCCGAGGGGTTTTGGTTAGTTTCCTGAATGTTAGGAGATCTATGTGTCTTGTTACAATTTTAAGCATAGCCCTTAAAATGGATGCCTCTTCATTGTGGGTTCTAATAATTTGCTTTTCATGAATTTTTGATCATCCATAACGGTTGGCTTTCGAAAATTGTTTGGTTGTATCTATACTAAAGTTAGTGAAGTATTTGGTATTCTAGATTCAGAATATGGAAGTGGGGAAGAATACTGAAAGTCACTTGACATCAGCTGCTGCATTTGTGGATGGAGGAATTCAAGATCCTTGTGAGGACACTTGCAGCATATGCTTGGAGGAGTTCTCCGAAAGTGACCCCTCCTCGGTAATATGTCCTTTTTTTTTCTTTATTATTTTTGCTATTGGTGGTACTAGACATTCATTTGTCTTAATTTTCTCTTTCTCAGTTTCTCTTCCTAACAAGCGCCTGCAATGCTGGCACACTCTTACAGAGGAATTTTTGTCTTGGTATTTTGTGTTTATACCGAGTGAATGTGCATTCAATTCTGTTTTTGCTCCTTGTCTTGCAGGTGACTATTTGCAAGCACGAGTTTCACCTCCAGTGCATTCTTGAATGGTAATTTATTTTATCAAAAATTGAATCTTGTTCATTTTTCCTTTCGGATGTTTTCAAACTTTGTATGCAACAATAGTAATTTCATGTGTAATTTTCCTTATTTTGACTATCATATTGTTGGTTCTTGGTAAATGCACATGGTTTTTTTAAAAAGGAGAAGAAAAGTGGAAATCTCCCTTTTAGACTTAGCCGGCTTCATAACAATGTTTCTGTTGTAAACTTGTTTCAATTGCCTGTTTCTATTGTGACAATATTACCCAAGTTATTCTGGTCATATAATAGCTTATTTTTGTTGATGAACCTTGGAATCTAACGATATGCTTCACCTCTTAGGTGCCAAAGAAGCTCTCAGTGTCCCATGTGTTGGCAACCCATAAGCCTGAAGGATCCTGTCAGGTTCTCTCTCTTTTCTCTCTCTTTTTTTTTGTTTTTGTTTTTCCATCACCTGACCATGCTCTTCGGTTGACATTTTTCCAAGTATTTATCTGATGACCATATTGTGGCAGTCAAGAATTACTTGAGGCAGTGGAACGAGAAAGGAACGTCAGGGTAACTCCATCTAGGAATGCCACTATATTTCATCATCCCACTCTCGGTGATTTTGAGTTACAGCATGTTCGTTCTCCGACTATACCCACTTTTTTCTCAATTACTTTGTTTGGTTACTAAAGATATAGCAAGCTTTACTACTTTTTAGCTCGAAAAAGGAAGAAATAAAGAGTAGAAAATATAATCAGTTTTGGCTGGACTATCAAGTTCGCTTATGTGATTGATTGCGGTAAGATGCAGTTACCTGTTGGAGCTAATGATGCTGATCTCGAAGAGAGAATAATCCAGCACTTGGCTGCTGCTGCTGCAATGGGGAGGGCTCACCATGTTCATAGAAGGGATAGCCAGAGGGGTCGATCATCTGCTCATGGTCGTCCGCACTTCTTGGTATTTTCCACTCATCCTAGTGCAGCTTCTTCTGGTCATGTTTCTGCTCCAAATGAGGACCCAGAACCTGTTGCAGTTACTGTAGCTGCTCCATCTTCCCCTCTTCCATCTGGCAGAGAGGAACCGTCACGGCAGATTCCGCACTTGCCCTTCATTCAAACTAATCAAAATTCTTCTTCAGCGTCTGGATCCAATTTGATTCCAACAAATCAAGGACCGTCCTTCATGAACCGGTAGTCAATATCCCTTGTTTTGTTTGCTTGGTTATTGTTATATAGATCATTTTGGACAAGTTTATACCTTCATTTGTATGAATATTTATCATCTGCTGTAGGAACTCTGCTAATCACACACCAGATAGAGCAGGACCATCTGACTTGCAGTCATTTTCTGAATCTCTGAAATCTAAATTTAATGCCATGTCAATGAGGTACTTTTTTATGAAGAATGGATTTTGATACTTGATACTCTTGGTGGATTTTGTGGCTGTAAGAGTAAGTACACTGACTATTGATCTTTATTTTTCGTTTATTATATACATCAGATACAAAGAATCTTTTTCGAAGAGCACAAGGGGGTGGAAAGAGAGGTTGTTCTCTCGTAACAGTTCCGTGTCAGATGATCGTTCTGAAGTCCGCAGAGAGGTGCCTGCTGGAATCGCAAGTGTATATCGTATGATGGAACGGCGTGAAGCCAGAGAAGATGATAGACCCAATCAAGCTTCTGTAGCAGATAATTTATCCAGTGATTATAATGCAGATCGACGCGACCGGAACAATGCAGAGACTCGTGGAGAAAACTCATTGAATGACAGCAACACACATACTACTTGTGCTGCGAGCTCAGCTTCATGTTAAGCTGTTAAAACATTGTTTCGCAGGAGCATCTATCCTCAGCATTTCAATTTTTGAAGGTCAGTTGCGAATCATAATATTTGATTGGTCTGATTTCGGCTCAAAAAACTGAGTCACAGTTATAGGAAACTGTTTATTAAATCTCATACTTCATTGCGAATGCCAACAAACTGTAGCTTGTTTCCCCCAGCAGTAGTAGCAGCAAATCCTTACCAAATTTGTCAAAGTTGAACGACATGTCCAGTCATTATAATAACTGCTCTAGCATTTGCCCGGAAGATATCTTCACACTATTTTTTTTTTTCCACATTCCCATTTGATTTCACCAGTTTTTCTCCAGCAGAACTACTCGAAGTTTCAACTGTCATGTCCACCCCATGCTTTTCTGCATATAGGATAGGAGAGAAATGTTTCATGACACATTCAAGTGATTAGAAGATCAATGGCTAGGACCCGACATTTAATCAACAAACAGATCTGGGTCTCTCAAAGTGTCTACTTAACTATAAGATTAAGATACTTGATAAATCTAACTTATGTTTTGAGTTTTAATTGGATTTTCAGGTAAACCCTTTTTCTATAGACATGATATGCTGAGGATGAGATGCTTTTGCTTCAGAGATTCGGTTAGTTAATGGTGATTATGATATGTTTTATCCAAAATAAGAGAGGAAGCGAGGAGAGAAGAGCCGAGACTAATATAAAATACAAGAGTATTTCGTATGTATATTTGTTTATAGACATGTTAACCCAAAAATTCGGTGCGGGAATGTGTTTCTAAAACCATGTCTGGATGGTCAGATCTTGGCATTTGTTTGTTCTCTGAATGTTAAAAGGAAAAGTGTTAAAACTTGATGGGACCATTTTAAGTTACCATTGGCCCTTGCCACCTTTTGCCTTATGATGATAAAGCATGTTTTTAGAGGGTAATTTTTCTCATTTTGATCCCCCTATTCCTGTGTCTACTTGAAGTAAATCACTTTTGTTTGGTAGCTCTTCATCAGATATCTATCATTTCATTTAGAGGTGCTGTGGTGGTACACTGATTATTGAAAACGCGTTCGGTTCTTCGATTCATTTTGTGGTTCTACGCCTGCAACCGCGCATGTAGAAAGAATGGGAGTGGGGAAGGAAGAACCATCGTTTGACTTTGGCACATGAGGTGGCTCGGAAAGAACTGCTTTTTCGGGTTTGTCCGCCTAGATAGGAAGTGTTCTTCAAAATTCAAGTGCAATGCCTTTCTGTTTATGGGTATGCTCGTTTCTTTCTTTGGCTTAAAACCTAGGGCTTGTGCTTCTTTAGCCGTGCTTTATGAAGGATTTTTCAAATCAAATGTGCCGAATCATAACACGATTTATTGATAGAAGGTGTCATACTAATGTACTCTTTTCACTGTTTGATAAGGCGAAAAGTTAAGAGGGAAAAGAAAATGACAAATATCAAGTGTTCTCTCGAGTTTCTTGGTTGGGTGATTTTAAAAACGACGAGAAGGAGCTTTAGACCATCTAATATAAATGTTAATCTATTGTCAACTTTAGCATAGAAAAGTAAACTAATATATGCTAAAAGTAAAATAATATATGAGAATGCTGTAATGATTAAATTGAAAAAAATTAGAATATTAACCAATAAAAATTAAATGTCAAATTTAACACCAACAATTGTATAGTATTAGAGAGTAATTTTTCTACTCAAATGTTAAAATTTGACATTAGACATTAAGTTAGCATTGCATTGGAGATGCTTCTGATGATGTTCTTATGTTAAGACGCTTATGATTGGTACTATTTGTTACATAGATATTAAAAAGCATAAAAATATAAATCGAAAGACTTTCACGTCCCAACACAAATCCAACCACTTCTGGATGGATAAAATATGATGGAATTGGGAAGAGCACTTCTATTTATTCCCGTGGGATTTAAACCTTATTTTGATTTGCTATTTCCTTTTTTTTTTTTTTTTTTTTTCCAAGCACCCCGACATGTTAACAAATTTTTTTTTTTTTTTTTTTTTCCACAGATCTTTTTATACTCCTTTTCTCTTCTTTTCTTTTCTACCAAGTAAAGCTGATTTTGCAATTTCTTTTCTCGAAAATAAATTATGAAAATATTTGCTGACGTTACGCTGTCACTTGTTAGATGAAAAAACAAAAACAATATCAAGTTAAAATAAAATTACCTTTTACACATGCCTAAGGTCACTCAGATAACCAAACAAGTAGTTAAAAAGCAGTAAGTTAGAACTACTCGAGCAACCAAAGGAGAGGGCTAAAAATAAATAAAATAAAAATTTAAGAAAAATATAATTACCCATACAGCAAAATTTAAATAGTAAAATAAATTGCCGTGTAGTGTGTGTAAATTGTAGTCAAATGCCTTTTTCTTAGTCAAATATTTATATTAGTTAAAAAGATAATAATAAAGAGTAAGGATAAAATTAAGAGTCATGCAGATAAAATTTTGATAAAATTTACTTTTGAGTAATATGGTAGTTTTATTAAAAGGGATATTAATTAAGAATAAAAAGTAAAAATTTAAATCTATACATTTTAAGAATTATTTGTTTTATTTGTTTTATTTTTTTTTTATTTTTGAGAAAAGGAGACAAAAACTCCTTAGAATGTATGGGTATTAAATTTTTTTAACTCTTACACTTGGTTAACACCTCTTTTAATTAAAAAACTAGATTAGTTAAAAAGATATTAATTAAGAGTGAGGAGTAAAAATTTTGAACAATACACGTTTAAAGTGTAAAGTCTGTAATTGGGTAATCTTAACAAATACTCTTGAAAGTATATGGGTAAGGATTTTTACCCTTTATTATTAATTTATAATATTTTTAATCAAATAATTACACTAATAAAAAAATATTTATTAAAAATAAAAGGTAAAAATCTACACTCTTAAAAGTAAATTCTCCATTAATTTACTCTTTTACTGTTGAAGAGGCCAAGCACAAATATTATCAGAAATAGTAAAAAATAGGTCAATATGAAAAGTTTAAGGAAGTATATAGGCCAACTTTTAGTTATAGAAATTAATAGGCCATAACTTGTCAAGTTATGGTTCATAACCAGATAAGTTATAGATAAACTTGTCAAGTTATAGTTCATAGCCAGACAAGTTATGGACAAAAATTGTGATTTATGGACAATAACTTGTTAAGTTATGGTTCATAACTAGATAAGTTATAGATAAAAATAGTAATTTAACCTATTTATTAATTTATATAAACTATTAACCTATTAATTTTAAGACGTATTTTCCTCATTCTCTCCATATTTTCCAATCCCCTTCGAATTGGACCGGGCTGGTCCAAGCCGTAGCTTGGGTTTAGAGTCGTCGGTGGGTGGTGGGCAAATCAAATAAAAAAGCGTGCTTTGAACTTGGGAGAAGAGAAGTAACCACCGAGAAAGGTCGGTGGGACCCATCAAAGATGATTACAGTAGAGAAAAAGGGAATCAGACATTAGAGGTTCCAAAAGCAACTGTCATCTACTTTGCAATCTTCCAGCTTGGTTCACTTCACAAGTAGGCCCCAAACAAACTAAACCAGCATTATTTTTTTATTAATGTTTTGGAATCTTTAATTGGGGCTAACTTTGGCATTTCTCAATTCTCAGTCTTCTTTAATCTCCAATAATGTTATGTTATGTTTAGCTTAATTTTATTGCTTTTGTCATCACCAACTTCCCAACAGAATAAACACTACAAGACATGCTGCAATTTGCAAACATGCTCCTCGTTACCATTATGCATTGGAAATTGCAACTCTTTCTCATGAAAAGATTTCTACGATAAGATTTAGAAAAATAAACTATACACGGGATTCTATTTTTTAACTGTTAAATTAGTATCTGAAATTATTTATTATGAATATATTTTTTATTTTAATGTAATTTTTACTATATCTAATGATAAAAAATTTACGCTTTCGACAACAGACCCTACACTAAAAAGAAACTAAATTATAGTAACTTTTTCGTTCTTTAAGTTAAGAATTGGAATTGCATTATTCTTCTTTTTCTATTCCATACTACAAAAAGAGAAATAATGCTATTATTTTTCATAGAATGCTTGTTTTCTCAATAGAAGTTGATATTGACCTATTATCAATGCAATTTAAGTAAGAAAAATGATAACATTACTATTCTATTTTTGTCCCCCTCTATATTTATTGTAACACGTGAACTCAATTAATATAATATATTATAATTTATTGTTATTTAAAAAAATGAATAATTGAGTTCACGTGTCAAACAATGAATGTAGAGAGAGACATACAAAGTGATGATAACATTTCTCGGTAGATATAGACCATCACCTTTGTGCTTTGTGGAGATATGAATATTAAATTCATGTGAAACTTGTGCAAGGTGCACTAGCAAGCGACTTCCTTCTCTAATAATTCTGCTATCATGCAAATCTCATAAACGCTTTTCAATTCTTTACCTTGCATCATTGTTGGGAGGTATTTTCTTTCTTTCCTTTTTCTGATTTTTTTTGAGGAAATGAATTAAGTGTTATATTATAGGGTCCTTTTATGTTGCCGGAATGCTTTCTGAGAGATACAATATTTTGTGAAATTTTATCTTATAACTTATAAACTCGAACGATAAAATTGTAAAAATTACTATAAACTTGTGAATTTTGAAGGAATACGATGAATCGTTCGAGTTTGTAGGTTCTAACGTAAAAGTTACAAGTTATTACATTCCTTTAAAATTCACAAGTTTATCGTAATTTTTACAACTTCATTGTTTGAGTTTGCAAGTTCTAACGTAAATTTTCATAAATCAATGAATATTCGAATACGGTATCAGAAAAAGGCATCCCGAGAGCATAAAAGATCCCGTTTTATAGAGAAAAATATTAGCCATGTTTAGAATTGATCCCGTTTTTGTTTTTTATGTTTTTTAAAAAAGAAAAAATGAAAACGTTTTCAAAACGGCGTTTGGCACAATAAAGACAAAAAATGGAAATGAAAATGATTTTTTAGTTTAATGTAAAATGAGAGAGAAATGAAAAATGAATTTTAATTGTTTTTTATTTTTTATTTTCGTTTTCTCATCTCTCGAGCAGAGAGAAAGAGAGAGATACTTTAATGAGTTTTTTTATATTGAAAACAATCTCTTAATAAAATTACTAATCACATTTTCAAAAATGATTTATGTCTGAGATTGAAAATGTTTTCATTTTTATTTTCATCCAAAAATAAAATTATTTTGAAACGAGTTCCAAACGTGCCTATTGTAATTTTTTTTTTTTTGTTGTTGTTAATAAGCTTCGGTTTGTTGTTGGAATATTGTAATAGGTTCTGTGCTATATTTCATTTTTTTCTTTCCGAAAGGAGACATTGATTACATGTTGGAAAAACAATATAATAGTATATATATTATTTGCATAATGAACAAAACGTGACATCATTTGAATGGGGGTGCTAATTTCTTGCTTTCTTTGAAGAATACCCACTACCAAACAGATTCTCTATTCCCCTCCTTGATTATATTCTAGCTTTCCAAAACCTACCAAGTTAGACTTTCAAAAGGAAAAAAAAAAAAAAAAAAGAAAAAAAACATAAATCCACCAAATTGTAATGAAAATCTGTGATTCACATGTAACGAAGCGCGCACTCAAAGTTAGTGCATGTATGTGAACAAGCACATCAAATATGGTATTATTTCATTTTCCAAAAATATGTGTGTATATATATGGTGTATTTTAACTAATTTAATTAATTGAGAATAAATGCTAGATAATTCCATGCATGAAATAGAAAGCTAGATACCTATTCGTTTTCATAATTCATAATTTGTTTTAAAAAATAAATTAAACTCAAATTATACAACTTCTTTTACAAATTAAGGATTAGGTTCATAGGACCATCGGTGCAATAAAAAACACACAAATATTTCTTATGAAGGTGTAATGGATCCAACAGAAAAATCATAATCCTAAAGTACTATTTTACATCATTTTTCAACTTTGCTAATAAACTTCCATTTGTTTGAAAATTAAGCAATCAAAAGTATTATTTTAGTTTAACACTTCAAACCAACGTGTTTATATTTTCAAATTTTCAAGTATATTATAGTACGATCAAAATATAAATGCAACTATTGAGTGACAACTTCTTATTAATTTATTGTCAAGTTATATTATCATCAACAACTACTACTATATCAGAAAGAGACACACCCTTGTACACTCTAATGAAGAACTGACCCGTTTAGTTCGCTGATTCGAGTTTTAAATTCGAGTTGATATGATTTTATGTGAGAGTTTTTTACTGTAGTAAAAAAGTTAGATGTGACTGTTTCTGAGAACTTTTTACTGTAGCAAAACTTAAATTTCAAACTTAAATCGGTGAAGTGAACGGGGCAATTTTGTTTAGAGCCTAAAGACTTTGTTCTTCATGTTTTTGAGAAAACGTTAAGACACAGCACTTTTGCAAGCTGAATTTGGCCAAAAAGTCATTTTCTACGTAGACATTTTAAGTTGTAAGTGATGGTTTAACTTTTAAGTAAAAAGTGTTTCTGTTTGTAGAGATTCAATCAAAGCACAACCTATTAGTAGTTCCTTTAAGGAATATGCTCGTCTTGGGGCATAATCATCGGAGACATTTGGTTCATAAATTATAATCATGTTATTAGAATTATTTTTAATTTACGTATATTTTTTGTGAGAGAAAATACTGTAACGAACCATGAATTATGATTCAAATCATAGTTTGAATCCTCCAACCAAACGTCAACTGCTCAGGCATAATCATTCAAACCGCTTTTGTAAAACTAGGAAAAGAGGGGTAGTCAAGATTACTCAAAGTTAATTACTTCTTCGTTTTTTATTTGTTTATTACTCGATAAATTTTTATTTAAGTTTTAGTTTTATACGTTATGTTATTACATAGTATTGTATTATTTTTCATTTAACATGATAAATATTTAGAAATATTATTAGGATTCATCAAGTCAAAGAGAGTCCTCTAATTCATAATATTACAAGTATATATACGTGATATAAATTATTATAATAATTATTATTTGCTGTAGACGTGATACCACCTTTTTATGTATACATTAATCTTCTTATGTGCCATAATGGCGGGATCATGTTCTACTTTTGTGAAAATTCTCTGTTATCATACTATTAAGCTTTTAATGCTCATTATGAAGTATAATATCATATTATTGATTTTCTTCCCTTTTCTTCTTTAGAAAATTAATAATAATTTGATTTTTATATTAAGTAATAAGTATTAGCAGAACAAATTAAGTAATAAGGGAACAAAATCAGATTTAGAGAAAGTCAGCTGAAGGTTCCGAGTCTGAGGGTGACAAACTATCTGCCAGCGGGCAAGACGTCACCGTTTTAGAAAATTAAATAAGTAAATAAAAGAGGAAAGACCACGCTCCACGCTCCCCACGCGCGCGTAAAAGAAACGTGCTTGTAGCTTAGCGTAGAACTGAGGTCATTATTCATTGTCACACACCGACACCTCCCTTTTCGGCTCCTTGTCATCGGCTCGGCTCGGCTCTTCTCTCATGCCTTACTTGGAATCCACTCTTTTTCTCTCTCCTTTTCTATTTACCTTTTAATAATTACATTTCTGGTTTTTTACTTCTTGAAACAAAAGGGTGTCTTATTATTTTTTTTAGAAGAAGAAAAAGCGAGCCTTATTTTATTTTAGGTAAGATTATAAAATTTCTTGATGAATTATAAATTGTAACACAATTTGTCTATTGATATTTGAAACGTAATATCCGTTCTACTTAAATTATAAATTATTAATAAAAATACTCTTTCGATTAGTGTTTATAATAAAAACGTCACATGTCATATAAATACCGATAGTTGCAAACTAATTTAGAATATAATTACTATTCTACCCATAATTCGTAAGGCCTTGTTTGATTTAACTAATTAAAATTTTAATTTAGTTTGAATTGTGATGAGTTGAATTGTGATAAATTTAATTGTGATTCCAATCAGTGTTTAAATACACAAATAAATTATTATTTGAATTAAAAATAAAAATACAAACTGTGTTTCGTTAAAGTGTTAAAAATTATCACTAGAGTTTTGTACAAAATCTTAAGGACCCATTCATTTTATGATTTGAGTTTAACGGTAAAAAACTTTCAAAAATAATCACATTTAATTTTTTTTATTACAGTAAAAAATTCTCACATAAAATCATATATTAACTCAAATTAAAAACTCAAATTAAAACCTTAGCAAACAAGCCCTAAATTTATTAATCAAAGTAGCGGTGGAGTGTAAAGCAATCAAAACGGCTCAGCTCGGATCGGCTCGGCTCGAAGTGAAAGGGAACCGTGTGGTCCCCACATCCAGCCTGTCTCTACTCACAAACACACACAGACACAGAGTCACCTCCGCATGAAAAAAAATAAAAAAAAAATAAAAGGAAAAAAAAAAGTCATCTTCTTCTCTTCTCTCTCTCTCTCTCTCTCTCTGCCTTTTTTCTCCAAAGCCTTAATAGCATCACTTCTTCTCAAGTCTTTCTTCGCTTTGCTTTCCCAAACCCAAACCAAAAATTCTTCTTCTTCTTCTCTCTTTCTCTCTTCCCTCTTATTTTTCCCTCCTCATTTTCCACACTCCAAAACCTTCTTTATACACTCGTACCGACACTTTCTCTCTCTACTCTCTCTCTCTCTCTTAGATTGAGCCGCCATGGATTCTCCTCTCTATGGCGTCTCCATTTTCTTCTCCATTTTCCTCCTCTCTTCCCACACTCTCGCTGCATTGCCTCGAACCTCATCGTCTTCATCGTCGTCTTCGTCTTCCTCCGGTCAGATTAACTCCAACTCCGTCCTCGTCGCTCTCCTCGATTCCCACTACACAGAGCTCGCCGAGCTCGTCGAGAAGGCGCTTCTGTTGCAGACTCTGGAGGAAGCCGTTGGGAAGCACAACATCACCATCTTCGCGCCGAGGAACGAAGCCCTAGAGCGCCAGCTCGACCCGGAGTTCAAGCGATTCCTTCTCGAGCCGGGGAATCTGAAGTCGCTCCAGATTCTGTTGATGTTCCACATTATCCCAAGCCGAGTCGGCTCCGGCGACTGGCCGGTCTCCGGTTCGGACCCGGTCCGGCACCGCACGCTCTCGACTGAGCATGTGCATTTCGCGAGCAAGGGTTCCGGCGAGAAGGTTGTTAATTCGGCGGAGATCGTCCGCCCCGACGACGTCGTTCGACCCGACGGAGTGATCCACGGTATCGAGAGGCTTCTGATTCCCCGATCGGTGCAGGAGGATTTCAATCGGAGGAGGAATTTGAGATCGATTTCGGCAGTTCTTCCCGAAGGAGCTCCAGAGGTTGATCCGAGGACTCACCGGCTTAAGAAACCGGCGGCGCCGGTCCCAGCCGGAGCTCCTCCGGTGCTTCCGATCTACGACGCGTTGGCTCCAGGACCTTCGCTTGCTCCGGCGCCGGCTCCCGGACCGGGAGGCCCCCACGGCCACTTCGACGGTATGGCTCAGGTCAAGGATTTCATCCAGACCCTATTGCATTACGGAGGATACAACGAAATGGCAGATATTCTGGTCAATTTGACTTCTCTCGCTACGGAAATGGGAAGATTGGTCTCTGAGGGTTATGTGATCACTGTTTTGGCTCCGAACGACGAGGCCATGGCGAAACTGACGACGGACCAGCTGAGCGAGCCCGGCGCGCCGGAGCAGATCGTGTACTATCACATAATCCCGGAGTACCAGACAGAGGAGAGTATGTACAATGCGGTGAGAAGATTCGGGAAGGTTAGGTACGACACTCTGAGGTTGCCTCACAAGGTCGTGGCTCAGGAAGCCGACGGGTCGGTGAAGTTTGGGAATGGTGATGGATCGGCGTATTTGTTCGATCCTGATATCTACACAGACGGCAGGATTTCGGTTCAGGGGATTGACGGAGTTCTCTTCCCGCCGGAGGAGGAAACGGCGTCGGAGAAGAAGACCAGTTCTCCTGTTAAGGTCGCTACCAAGCCCACCAGAAGAGGTAAATTAATCTCAAATTATAATTTCACTTTTTTTTTCTTTTATTAAAAGTTTTATTTTTGTTTTGGTTAATTGACGTTGTTGTGAGGAAAAAAGAAAAAAAAAAGGGTTTAATTGATTTTAATTCTGTGGCTGTGATTTTTTTAATCTAGTTTGGTGAAAGTTGATTACACGACAAAATAGCTCATACCAAAAACAGAATTTAGGCCGCTGTTGGAGTTAATGATTGTTGTTAATTGTAGTGGGATATAGAGAGGATCATTTTGTGGAAGTTTATGATTGTGTCTTTGATGGGGTTATCACGTAGCGTGTGGAAAAAAAACTAGGATCCACTTTCTAGTGTTAGTGTTAAGAGAATATGCCAATCTTGTTTTTGTTATTACATTCTAAAGATGAGAGCTTTAGAGGCAAAAATCTTGTGAAGATAACAATATTTTGTGGCTTCCACCAAAGAGTTAAAATATGGTGAATTTTTCTGGTTTTGATCGGAGGAAGCTTGGAAAAGGGTGAAAGGTTGGTGAAAAGTGTTGGAAAATAATTAAATGGTTTTCACGGGCTTTGTCTTCTTGAAAAAGAGATTAAAAAAAAGAAGGGGGGATTGACGTTTGAGACAAGAAAAGGCTCTGCCCACTAATGTCTTGAGATGTTTGAACGGTTCCGTGCGTAGTGCCACCAAGTCCATGTGACTAAAATTTGCCAAACCAGACTTTGCCCTAATGAGTCCACGTTTGCCACAGCTGTTAGCTGCGGTTTTCTTTCCCCACAAAAACTTTGATGCCCAAAAGCAAATTGTATTATTAAATTCCACCCCCCTTTCACTTTCTGTTCTCTAGTCATGTTAAAATATTAGCTGGCATGGTTGGTTGTATCTTTTTTTGCTTCTTTTATTAGCTGACCCTGATTTTTGTATGTGGGGTTTTTAGTTTGTGATCTCTGAATAAGCCAAAATCTGAACAAATCATTGATTTTTTCAGTGTTGTAATTTAATATATAAATCTTGTGGGTTAGAGAATTTGTTTTAAATTTTAATATTTCTTTTGGGTTGACTAACAACTTGGTTTCCTTTTTTACTTGGGTTTACAGGAAAGTTGATGGAAATGGCGTGCAATGTGCTTGAAGTTTTTGGACAGCATCGCTTCTCTTGTCAATAAAGATAACGCTCTCTCAATTAAAAGCCCCCAAAAACAGATGGAAAATGTCTTGTAAAAACAATTCATAAATGGTACAAAAAACAATAACGCCCACTTCATTATTGTGTAGTTTTGATTCAAATCTCATCTTCATTTTTGCTGAACAAGAGTTTGCTGTATATATATATGCAGTGTAGATTGGCTCTGCCTACTACAGTGAAGAATATGAGAGAGTGAGAGAGCGTTTGTTTGGAAGAATTTTTCTTACTTACAGTCCCACAGAAAGAGAGAACATAAAGTGTTACTGTTGTTTTTGTCATAAACAAATTACTGTAATTACATATCATTTTTTTAATTATTTTATGTTTTTGTTTTTTTCACTATTGTGTGCATGAACAACTTGGAATACTTGCTACTTTTTCTTAATATCTTAATCATGTTCATAGGTTGGGTTCTTTGTTTATTCATTGATTGGGAATCAAATAATTCAATCATTATATATATATTCTCTCACTCTCTCTCTCTCTCTCTCTCCATTGCTATGCTCTCTCTCTCTCTCCATTGCTATGCTCTACTGTCGGCAGGAATATGAAATTCGAGCTTCAATTTGCTGTTGGGTTTATTTGGAAAATGAAATGATGTGATGGTGGTTGGATAACTTATTAATTGTTATGTGATTAAGACTGCGCGTAAGTTGGTGGTCTTTCATGGCCTGGTATTCTTTGTCAATACTATATCATGGATTGAGAAAACAAAACAATAACAATAATAATCAATTATCGATTCTCCTTTCTTAAAGCATGCCACGTTACTCCTTTTTTTTTTTTTTTTTTTTTTTTTTAAATTTTTTTTTTTATTTTTTTTTTTTTTTTTTTTTTTAATAATGTATCTATAATTTTGTATTAAAGCTGTGGCTGATGTGATTGCCTAATCTCGTGGATGTTATGATTGTCTCTTCTAATCTCGTTTTAGTGTATGTCTAATGTGTGGACATTCATGTATATGTTTATGCAATTGGCATTCTTGAGTTGAGCCTACCAAACTTTTTCATGCTCACCGACAGTTTGTGGAATCTTCATATATGATTGAAAGCTCAAGGAAAAAGAATTAGATATAGAAGAATCGGACTGCCAGCCTCTACTAGTTCAATAAACTACAAAGTATATAGGATCAAAAAGGAATAAGCTCTCGCGAAAGGTATCAACCAGTGAAGTTGGTAAAAACGAAACTTATTAAATTAGTAAATTATTATTATTATTCTTTTGAAATTAAGAATCGGTGTTCAATTGTAATTGCGAGTTTTAAGAAATACAGAAAAATACGCAATAAAATAAAAGGTCTCCCTTATGTTTTCATACCCTACCATAAAATTCACCATTTTATTTCAACGAGTTTTTTTTTCATCTTTTTTTTTAATGATTTTTTTTTTCATCTTTTAGTTGCAATTATTTCTATTTTATTATATTAATTACAATCTTTTGTTCTAAAGTAGAGATAATTACACTAGATAGCAATATTTTATCCCTCGAGAGAAAACAAAAGAGGAACAGAAAGGGAAAAGATATGGAGAATATTAGGGGTAAAGAATGATAGACAAATAGAGGCAAAGAAAAATGAAAAAAAAAAAAGAGATAAAACGCCGATAAAGAAGGAAAAAAAAAGTAAGACACCGTTTGTAAAAGACAATGATAGAAAAATATAGTTAAAAAGGAGGTAAAACACTGAAAACAATAGAGTTAAAAAAGAAATAAAGAACGGAGCGGTTTTAAAGGTTACAGACTGCTACAAACAAATGGAGAAAAAAAAGAAGCAAAAAATAACAAAGGAAAAGAGGTAAAATAAAATATTATTAGTAGTAACAAGAAAGAAAGGAGGGGGAAGGGGCAGCAACAAAACGGTACACTTTAAACGACGAAAACCAAATATCCACACTTTTATATTAGCATAAAGGAGACAATACCCCTTGAAACATGTTAAGTAGATCCTATAAACATTTTGTATTGTATTATTTAAGAATAATATAATATTTGGTAGCATTTTATATATCGTATAATTTAATACGAAATTTATATTTAATACAATACATAGTGTGATATCTAATACGAATAAAAATTTATGTATTAAATTGTATTATGCAATTTAACTTTACTATATTATAAAGCATATTAAATATTTTACAAATATCAAGAGTCGGAATCGGGTTTCGGGACCAATGCAGAGGTTAAATTTTGGGATTGCAGTGATGTTGGGTCTAATTTTTAAAAAATTATACTTTGATCCCTCTACTTTATAAATTATATTTTGACCCATTAAAATTTTAAAAATTATATTTTGATACAATACTATTAATCAAAACGTGCAATACAAATTTCTACCTTGATTTGAAAGTTAACAAAATGTTCAGAATATTATAAATATAGAAAGATGACATAGTCATTATCAAAATGATGCCACATTTTATACTATATAATGATATAGGCATTATCTTAGGGGAAATTTTCAAAAAAACCATCAAAGAGATAACACTATTTTATTTATGTCATTGTTTTAAAATTTATCTTATACCACTAATAATTTGCAGGTTATCTTTTCATAATATGCAGATTATCTTTTCGTAACTTGCATGTTATCTTTTCGTAACCTGTATATTACGTTTCGTAACCCGCAGGTTATCTTTTGTAACCTATTATTTTTTTTTTTTGTAATTTTGTGTAATGGTAAAAATAATAGAATTAGGAAAAACAATGGTCAAACTTGAAATTTTCTCTTATCGTACTGATATTAAAATTTTGCTATTCTTGTTGGATGGATTTTTCAGACAGAGTAGAAAATGTGGTAAGTTTTCGGGCGACCTGAGCGTACGTGTAAAACCCATTTTTCTAAACTGACAAAATTATTAGAAATAGACGTTAGGAATTAACTTGAATAATGTTATGGTGTTACATATAGTTAATTCTAACATCACGTTGAGTTATTTGTTATAGGTGAACGCGACGAGGACTCGAGATGCCGAGAACAAGTTCATGCCATTTTATAGAAATTATATATATGTTCATTTTTATTTTTTTATTTTTGATGATTTGATAAATGAATATATGTTCATGATATGATATACTTCATGTTATAATGCATGGAATTACGTGTCTTAGGAAAATTTTAAGTTTTTCTTGATTTTTCTTTTTAGACAAAAAAACTATTTCCATGACGTTAATTTCCAGCTCCATTTTGGATCTTTAAAATTCTGAAATTATTCCTTTAGTTTATACAAAGCAGTAGAAAATTTTATAAGCTTTCCAACCCATTCTCATTTGCGCAAATCGGAGATCGGAATAAGAAGATGTAGTCAGTATACCATCTGGATACCCAGCAGTCTCCGACCAAGTTACTGCACGCAAACAAGAATGGAAATTCTAGAAGTTGACCTAATTCTTTTATTTGTCTTCCACACGATTTTGCACCCTATGACAGCCATTCCTCCAGCTATTAAGGGGTCATTTAATCATAGAATTAATCCCTTTTAATTTTATATGATTTATGAGCCACTAAGTATTTTTTACCCTTGCTCTCTCCCTCCCTCTAACGACATTCTCTCTCTCTCTCCCACCTTCCACACGTTCAGAGCAAAAAAAAAAGTCACAAAGAGCCTCCAAGACCAGCCATCAAACCTCCATTATTCTATCCATTTTGTAAACTTTCGATTTTTTCAACCCAAAATTAAGAGGATTCTCAAGGTATAATTCTTTCTTGTTGTTTGGTTTTAAATTCCATGAGAGTTTGGATGATTTTTTCTTTGGGTTTGATTATAATGGTTTGAGAGGATGATAGATGATATTTATTGGTTGATGATTGAGGGAGAATATATGTGATTTAGGTGATGTTTAATGTCCATGGCTACAGGTTTTTATTTTGGATTGGAATGCATGATCTGGTTATTGTTTTGGGTGTTTTGGTGTCTTCATAATTTGATAAATTCTAGTTAGGCATGCTAAGAATTATATTATTTTCTTATATTGTTGTTTCTTCTATGTTATAAATTGTGATTTCATAGAAATATGAGTTAGGATGTTGTTTTTGGATTTGAGTTGTAAGGTATGAGAATTTCAATGGTCATGATGATGTTTCTAACTTGCTTTGCCACGAGGATTTTTTTTATAGAATGTGTGATTTGAATATTTTAGTAACATATCATAAGGCTAGTTAAAGTATACATGTGGTTGGAGTTGATTTCATCTTTAATGAATTTATTTTGGTATTTTCAGAATTTACTAGTGCTGGAATTTTTCAACTTATGTGATCTTACTTTAAAATAGTGTTTGAAGGACCAAACGAACTCCGTTTTTAACAAATTAGATACCGTTAGAAATGTATGGATGTCTATTTTCAAATGGCATCAGTCTTAGGTCATTTTGAATTCTGTGTAATTTGTTATGAATTTTTAAAAGGGTAACAGTCAGGCTGCCAATTTTTGTTAAGTTTTGTAATTTTGTATACTTGATGGGTTTTTGTGTCTCGATATTATTAAATGATGAAATTGACCTTTTAGGTGTTGTTTTAATATGATGGATGGATTTGATAAATTAATGTTTTTAATTTTATTATATTTATGATTTATGACACGAACGGTTCTAGAGGTGAGCATCTGAGGACCTCATTCGCCGTGTCACAGTTAGAAAATTTAAAAATGTTAAGTAAGACGTTTATGTAAGTACACTCTTACCTGCAACATGAATTGAATAATTGAGAAGTATATAATTTCGATGTTTATGATGATGTTATGACATTTTTAATATTACTCTTATGACGACGTTTTGAAGAAAAATGTATACACAGTAAACAATACACATTATTGTTTTTTGTTTTCTCAAGTCTCTCTCTCTCCTTTTTTTTTTTTTTTCCCTCAGATTTGCTTCTATTTTCTTGCGCTTTTTTGCCTCATAAATTATTTCCAATACACACTAGGACTTTCTCTGAAGCTTTTTTTTTTCCCCTCAGATTTCTTATTTATTTCTTAGGTTTTAGTTTCGTAGCGCAATTGACCTAATATTTGCCATTTAAATTGGCTTCTTACTGACCTTGATATCTAGCAATTTACGTTAGTTAAGTTTTGCTACTAATGCATTTTTTTTTTGGTTGCAAAATAAATCTGAATTTTACTGCTTAACTTTTTTTTTTTTTTTTTTTTTTTTTAATGATCTTATTTTGGATAGCTGCCTGTAAAGCAGCACAAGATCTCCTAAATGATCTTCTTATTTCAAATTTTCCTTGCCTTAAATAACCATTATTTCTTTGTTTAATGGTGTAGTGGAACATATTGGTATCCCTCCTTTTAACCTGTGGACTCAAGAAGTTCCCCAGGCGTGCTGCTTCGGCTAGTTCGTAC